CGACACCTGAAGCAGCTGAAGAAATCCAAAGCGAACCGCGGGCGGCCATTAAAATCAAGCCTCCCATGCCCCCATCGTTCAACCCGACAGACAGGACGACCACCGTGAGCGGGTGGCTGTTCGCCATGGAAATCTTCTTCACAGCAGCAAGTATTAATGACAACGCCTCACGTGTCAACTTGGCTGTGTCGCTGCTGGGGGGACCGGCACTCGACTAGTGGCGCATGCATCTTGATGAGGGAGGAGCTCCGGCAGGGAATCAACGGGCGGCAGCTGGGGAGATGAGTTCATCAACGGCAACGGCAGAACCAACCTTTGGCTCGACCACGATCCGCACGTGGAAAGCGTGGGGCAAAGCGTTGAAAAGCAGATTCGAGCACATATCCATGAGCAAAAATGCTCGCACAAAGCTTCGGATGTGGAAACAGTTGGGCCCTGTCCAAGAATACACGGCGTCGTTTCTGGCCATCTGCGACCAAATGGGAGGAATCAGCGAGGACGAGAAAATCGATCGCTACGTGGGCGGACTCAAACCAGAGATTCAACAAGAAATCGTCCTGCGAGCCCCGACCTTCAACGAGATTGTTCGCATGGCGGATGCGCTGGACGCGCGACGTGGACTCGCGAGAGCGGGTTTCCGGGAGGAAAATCGCTTTCGAGGCCAGCCCCAACACACATCAATCAACGGCGTGGACGTGTTTGCAGCCCGAGTATTTTCGGGGACCTGCTTCCACTGCAACCAGCGGGGTCACATGGTGAGGGACTGCCCGCAACTGAAGAAGAACTTACCTAACGACATGAAGCAGTCGGGAAATGGAGATCGTTAGTAGCAGATGGGCCACCTACTGACTTGACTGCATCGCCCAAACACCACCACCCCCACCAGGTTATAGTGCCGATTTGGGCTATCGACCATTCCTGGCTGAATAAGGGGGGTGAACTGGTTGACCACCCTGTGCTGGTTGAAGGGAGAGTTGGTGATACCCGCATAAAAATATTTGTTGATGGCGGGGCAAGCCACAGTTTAATGGATGTGACGAAAGCGAAAAAATTGCGACTGCAACTGGAGAGGTGTCTGCCTGAAATCGACGCGCGATTGGTCGATGGCACACCCCTGGCAATTCGGGAGCGAGTACCTCACGTGCGAGTTATTTGCGGCGAAAATTTCAGCATTACGACGAAGATGCTGGCGACAACGTTGGACGGCTGCGACATGCTGCTGGGACGCGATTGGCTGCGCGAGTACAACCCGAGCATCGATCGGCGGACGAGTGACTGTCGAATCAAATGGAGTGGCGAGTGGCGACGACTTCCGAAGTGGAACAATCCAGATTCTGCGACAGTCAGTGCGGTTACAATCAAGCGAGCGATGATTCGCGGGGCACAACTGTACGCCGTCCGATGGATCGCATCCACGGCTGTCAGCGCACCGGCCGACATCGACAAACTCTGCGCGGCAGTCCCCGACGACTTGGCGACATTGATCCGCAAGCATGCCGACATCTTTCCGAACGACCTACCGCCAGGATTGCCACCCGAGCGAGACCACGACCATAAAATCCAGTTGGAGCCCGGCGCGCAACCGACGGTTCGGACACAGTGGAGGCTGACTCAGCCAGAGCTGGATGAACTTCGACGCCAGCTGGATTACCTGCTCGAGAAAGGTTTTGTTCGCCCCAGTACTTCACCGTTCGCAGCTCCGATACTGTTCACGCCGAAGAAAGATGGCGGTCTACGAATGTGCATTGACTACCGCGCCTTGAACCAGGTTACCATCAAGTCTCGCTATCCTATTCCGCGTGCCGACGAACTCATCGACCAACTTCGTGGGGCAAAGTTCTTTTCAAAAATTGACCCGCGAGGCGGTTACCACCAGATCCGTGTCAACGAAGCTGACTGCTACAAGACGGCGTTCCGAACCCGCTACGAGAGTTACGAGTACACGGTCATGCCTTTTGGCTTAACCAACGCGCCTTCAACATTCCAGTTAACCATGAACGAAGTTTTTCGGCCGCTGCTGGATAAATGCGTCATTGTGTACCTCGACGACATCCTGATATACAGCACTACCCGGGAAGCACATTTGAAGGATTTGGAAGCAGTCTTCTCTCTCCTGCAGCAGCATCGACTCATCACCAAGGGTTCTAAGTGCGAGTTTCTGAAACAAGAACTAGAGTTTTTGGGACACGTTATTTCCATCGACGGTGTTAAAATCGACCCGAAAAAAAATCGCGGCCATACAAGACTGGAAGCCGCCGGCTAATCTCCGCGAACTTCAAAGTTTCCTGGGTTTTGTGAATTACGTTCGCCGGTTCATCCCGAACATGGCGGGGGTAACTTCCCCTCTCACAGATCTTCTGAAGAAAGGCAAGTTTTATGAGTGGGGGGGAGAGTAGCAGGCTGTGTTCGACCAACTCAAAAATTTTCCCGACAACACCTCCGGTTCTTCGGATTGCAGATCCTCACCGTCCGTTCGAACTCATCACCGACGCTAGCGATCTGGCTGTTGGCGCAGTACTGTTACAGGACTTCGGGAAAGGCCTCCAACCCATCGCCTACTAGTCACGAAAGCTGAATCCGGCCGAGCGAAATTATCCCGTCCACGACAAGGAGTTACTCGTCATCGTTCACGCGTTCAAGGTTTGGCGCTGCTACCTGACGGGCGCTGATGGGACAGTCTGAACAGACCACAAAACGCTACATTTCATCCGCGCCCAACCGACACTCAACCCCCGACAGATTCGTTGGCTCGATTATCTCGAGTCGAATTTCCACTACAGAGTCACCTACAAACGAGGGGCCAGCAACATCGCCGACGCACTGACCCGCCCTTCAGTCCATACCGCCGCTGTCCTAATCACCTAAACCAATCCGCTGCTAACTGGACTATTTACCCACGGATACAGTACCGACCCATTCTTCACGACTAACAGTCATCCCCAACTGACAGTCAAGCAGGGGGCTTATTACCTAAAATCCGGTACCAATCGGATTTGGGTTCCCGCTTACCGTACCCTACGCGAGCTACTGATACAGGAGTCACACGACTCGAATTTCTCGGGTCACTACGGCATCGACAAAACTGCCAAATTACTGAGCCGTAATTATTTCTGGCCCGATTTGCCGATGGACGTGCAGCAGTACGTCACCTCCTGCGCCACGTGTCAACGCATGAAGTCGTCACGACTTTGACCTACGGGATTACTGCAGCCGCTCGAGCCACCCAGCCGACCCTGGCAAGAAGTGACGATGGATTTCGTCACTGGCCTGCCAGCTGGTCCAAGCGGTAATGACGCGATTCTCGTCGTCGTTGACCGTTTGACCAAAATGGCACACTTCGCCGCCTGCAAAACAACAATCATTGCCGAGCAGACAGCAAAGTTGTTTCTCACGAACATCGTGCGGCTACACGGCATCCCTTCGGCAATCATCAGCGATCGCGACCCTCGGTTCACGTCCAATTTCTGGACAAAAACCTGGCAGCAGTACGGCACACGTCTGCATCTGTCCACGGCATACCACCCGCAATCGGACGGCCAGACTGAACGCACCAATCAGACGATGGAGCAACTGATTCGTACAACATGCACAGACCCGGCCCAGTGGGAAGATTCTCTTCCACTGATCGAGTTTGCGTACAACAACGCCCCATCAGCCACGACTACTCAGTCCCCGTTCTTCCTTAATTACGGGATAGACCCGACAACCCCTCTATCGCCACCGATAGAAAATCCGGCACCTAGATCGCAGCAGTTCGTCGAAAACCTCCGACAGTCTCAGCAAAAAGCCGCCGATGCCATCCTCAAAGCCAACCAACAGGCTAAGCAGCACGCTGACCGATGACGCCGTGACTTAAACCTTGCCCCTGGGCAATTGGTCCTGCTCGACACTCGAAATTTGGGGATTCCCCTCCCAAATAAACTACGACCAAGATTTTGCGGCCCATTCCGCATAATCCGCATGGTGACTCCCGTCACCACCCAGCTGCAACTAGCGGTCGACTGGCGCATTCACGATTCATTCCACGTCAGTCTCCTGCGACCGTTCGTCCCGAATACAACTGATCTCGACCGTCAACATATCAATCCTACGGTCAACCCAGTACCCGAGCCGACGATCGAGCCATCGAAAATTCTCGCTCATCGCGTATGAGGTTCTCGCGATACAGCCGCCGTTGATTTCCTTGTACGATGGGTCGATCGCACGACTGATGACGACCTCTGGGTCCCCCGCAGCTATGCTCGGTGAACACAAAGTTGTCAGGGACTATTTACACAGACGACGTGTCCCGGATGTGGGTAGTCTCATCTCGGAAGGGGGGGTGGTGTAAGGAAAATTCCTTTTCCTTACTGGGCTCAACTACAGCGCGTACGCCCTCGACCCTCGGAAGACCAGGCCCGGCCATTTTCCTCGGTCCCGAACCATTTCGTAAACCCAAACCTAATGCGCGGTGCCTCCGTGGCTTTCGCCAACCGAATCGCCCTAACCTGTTTGCGAGGTTCTCGGCTAGCCCTGTTGTGCCTATAAATGCCTAGGTCCTCATTTGTATTGACAACTCTTGGATCACGACTCTTTTATTACACTACCTGTTATTACTCTGATTAATTCATAACACACACGTTTCACGTGCTCAATTAGTGTTACCCGAATGTGATTGGAATGTGAACCGTTCGATTGTCGTGAACTGATCGGACGGTTAATACATGCTTTTATGTTTTGGGGCGTTAGATCAATTCCGAAATGATCTGACGGCACAGAATGAAATGAATGTAATCGACGGCCAGTTGAATTTTTGCCGAAATGTTGGGATGTGAAGCGTCCGATCGGACTCTGTTGCATTCACCTGAAATTTGTGTCTTGGTTGTGTCCTGGCGCCAGGGTCCCTTGTATTGAATCGGGACAGGTTTTGTACAGTTCTGGGGCAGGTCATGCCCGGGACACTTTGGGGGGGGGTTTGTGATAGTGTCGGGAGACTTTTGGGGGGGATCTAAGACCTGCATACATGTGGGACAGATTTGAGATGCCCACTTTTTGGTGACATATTGCAGAAGGTCGCTGTTGGAGCCGCCTTGGAGTCGCCGCGCCTGCGCGTCCTGCTCCTCCTCCCTGCCACGGGGCGGCCTCTCCGCGCCTCCTAGGCGCCTCCGAGCGGGAGTCCCATTCTCTCCGCGCCTCCTGTTCTCTCCGCCCTTCCCGCGTTCTCCACTCCCACGGTTTTCCTCCCGCGCGCCACACACCGCCGCCCGTGCGGCAGCCAGCGGCGGCGAAGAGCCGGTAGCTTTAGCCGGTAGCTTTGGGGCGGCAGGCGGGCGCGCGAGGGTGGCGGGATGGGGCGGCCGAAGCAGAAGAAGGCGCAGCTGAAGCGGGGCAGGCGGAACGCCAGGTGCGGGAGGAGCGGGGCGCGCAGGCATGGCGTGCCTCGTGTGTGCGACCAGCCGCGCGCTCTCCTTTCCGCTCCAGCTCTCGCGGGGAAGGGCAAAGCCCGCGCACAGGCCTCTTAGTTTCCCCCCCGCCCCCGCTCCCTTTCCTCCCCCTCCCCTTCCACTCTCATCCCATCTCTCTCTCTCCCTCATTCCCCCCTCGCCTCCTCCCTCGCCGCGTGTCAGGCCGGCAGGCGCGCCGCGCGCACTCCAGGATGATGGCGCCTCGCCGCTGGCGCTCGGGGCGGACGGCGGCGCGACGGAGGGCGGCGGCGGCAGCAACGCGCTCATCATCGCGCCGTCGGCGCGCGGCAGGGGCGGCGGGCGCGAGCAGCGGCGCGAGGTGGGCGGGTTGGGAGGGGGCGGCGCGCTGGAGGCCATTAGGCAAGCTGTGCGCTGACGTGGCGCCGCAGCCCTCTCTCCCCCGCCGCTGCGTCACGGCTGGACTCTGGACTGAGGGCCGGGCGGGGTTCCGTGGTGGTTGTTGGTTGAAGGAGGAGGATCAGGGGTTTGGGTCAGGGGTTTGGGTCAGGGGTTTGGGTTTGGGGTTGTAAGCGGGGAGATACAGAAACGGGGGGTTGTTTCAGTTTCGCAAGGGCTATAAGAGGTGGACGCAGAAGCCGTGCTTGATGCCTGCACCTCATGCCCGTGCCTCCTTCTCTCCTCGCTTTTCTGCCAACCAGCGGACGGAAGGGACACAAGCTGACTCGGATTCTGACGCTGACGTGGCTGCTGACGTGGCGCTGGACAACGATGACGTGGAGATGGTGGACGAGCGCAAGAAGCGGCGCAACAGCAAGCGGCTGCAGAGGAAGCTGCGGCGCATCCAGGTGGGACGAGCATGCAAGGGGGAGGGGGAGGGGGGGTGGGTGCTGGGTGGCTGTAACTGGTCGCAGGAGGTGGGGACTGGTAAAGGCGGGCGGAAAGGGGGAAGGGGGCGTAGTGTGGGCGCGGGATGGAGGTGGGCGAGGGGAGGCTCGAGGGGGGTGTGGCGGAGACGGGTGAGCGGCGAGGAGTGCATCAACAGCTGCGTCTGCCTGCTGGATGCGCGCCTTCTAGTCATCCTCGCTCTCACCATTTCCCCTCACCCGTTATTCTTCCCCCTCTCTCCCTCCCCCATTCCCCCCCCCCGCCCCCCTCTCCCCTCACTTTCTTACCCGCGCCACTGGGCTGCATGGCAGGAGGAGAAGGAGAAGAAGGTGAAGCGCAGGCACGCCATGCACCTTCTGTTGTGAGCTCTCCTCTCCCCATCCCCCCCTTCCCGCCTCAACCCCCACCCCACACCCGCCGCCCGCCGCCCCCACTTCCATCTCCCTCCCTCCCTCCCCGTTTCCATCCATCCTTCCGTTCCGTCTTGCGTCTCCTTTCCTCTCAAGCGGTCCTTTATGATGATCATAAAGGGTACAGGGGTACAAAAAGGGCGATGTATGTCCTAGGGCTCCCGAGCATCCTACTGCTGCCCGGGCCACCTGTCGCAGGTAGGTTCAATGGTGGCTTCTAGTTCTCCCCAGGTAAGGGTTTCGTCTAGGGGGCGGTCATGGCTGAAGGCCTGGCCTGTCGCCTGGCCAACTTTCGCATGGAGGGTGATTGCCTGCTGCCGCTGGAGGGTGACGGACCATCTCTGGCGGTAGCTGTGCAGTACCTTCTTTGCCACCGCCGATTTTTCGTCGGCCTGATGGTTCCGGCAGGCTGAGAGGGCAGCCAGTACTCGGAGGAACTCGAGTGTGTCGGGGGAGCAGCAGCCATATGTCTCAGTGGCGACTCCCAACACCTTCACGAAGGTTAGTCGTTCGTCGTACAGGTCCCGCTTCTTGCCCTGCACCTCTGCCGCCATCCACCCCGTCCCCTTTCGTGCTGTTGGGTCGCGGGTTGAGACGGGGTCGGTGACTGTGACGTCACAGACCCATACCGCGCCTGAGTCGGGGCATCGGAGGGTGATGTCGGCGCGGCGTTGGGCAGTTTCAGGTAAGTAGAGCATGGATTCCATGTGGGCCACGAAGTGGGATTCTCGGGCCAGTGTGTCGTGGGTCCGTTGGACCCCCGCCCAAGGTGCATCGCAGCATGTGGTTGGGCAGCCGGTTGTCTGGTAGCTCATGCTTTTCCCGGCAGTTGCAGTTGCCGGGTAGGGAGTGCTGCAGGCCCATGCAGAAGGCTAGGGCCGTGGCAAATTGCCCCTTGCTCATGCTTAGGTCCGGGGAGAAGGGGATGGCGACCAGCCAGTCCCCTGCCCCTGGCCCGAGCAGAGAGAGGAGGCGCTGGGTGTGACCCAGGAGGGGGTTGAGTGGCATGTGTCTGGAGTCTGCCACTAGCCGTGCGTGCCTGGCCCTGTGTACCTCCTGTGCTAGGGCATGCTGGAGCTTGGCGCCAGGTTCGTCGCGCGGGCGGTTGAGTGTTGACTGTGTTGGTTCTGGAAGTGTCCCTTCCAGGCTGCGGAGCAGGTGATGTAGGGGCGTTTGGGCGGTGAAGGGCGGAGTGAGGAGGTGGAGGAGGTCGGCGAGGGGTGAAGAGTCAGGGGGTTCCATGGAGCGGAGGAGGTCACCTGCCTGGAGTGCGGAGGCCAGGTAGCTGTAGCTGCCTTCTGCGGCGGGGTCAATGAGGCCGAGGCCTCCTATGGTGATCGGCAGAGTCGCCTGTCGCCAGAGGAGATCTCGGCCCTCAGCGTCCCGTGCAAGGTGCAAAAAACGGCGTTTTTAACCCTTTTTTGCCGTTTAAAACGGGATCGTATAAAGCAGTCGTATAATACGATTAAAACGGCCGAAAGTTGCATTTTGCGTTTGGTGCAAAAAAACTGCCGTTTTATACGACCGTTTTTTTGGTACCACTGTATAATACGGTGTACATTGTTTTTTGCCGAGCTAATAACGCTCAGGGGGGGGAGGACTAGGGGGGGAGGACTAGATGGATGACGCTTAGGAAGAGGAGGACGGGGGGGATGGTGGAGTAGGAGCAGAATGAGGCCTTGAAGGCGACGGGCTAGGGGCATGGACATCACATGCCTGTTTCAAAGCCGCTAATTACCCCGTAGAACGATGCAGGCCACCTTAGCGATCAGGCCACTTGTTTATGCGTGCTTTTTATACATAGAAGTTTTTCATGAAAAAATGTCTAACAAAAAAACGTCGTTTTTTACCAAAACCCACCGTAAAAAACGGCTGTTTAAAACGGAGCGTTTAATACGGATGCCGTTTTTTTGCACCTTGGTCCCGTGGCTGCTGGAGCTCGCATGACTTGAGCGCCGCTTCCAGCAGGGACTTCCCCCACTGCGTCCATTCCTCAGGGGGGAGGAGGTCGGTGGGGGTGGTGCGGAGGAGGTAGGATGCCCTCCTCGTGATGCAGCGGGTGAGGAGCAGCAGCGCGACTTGTGGGTGCAGTTGCTCTACCAAGGGGAGAGCCACTGCCGCTTTCCCGAGTGTGTGGCGGATGATGTCCCCGCATCCGTGAGTGGTGCCGATGGGGCTGCCCAGGACCTTGATTGCGTCATGGGTGAGTGGTACTCCAGCGGGGATGAGCGCAGGATCCACCGGTGCGGGTGACCAGGCTGCGCACTTGCTGGCGTTGCAGGTGAGTCCGACCTCTGCCGCCCGTCCCGTGAGGGCATAGAAGGCGGTTGCGCATGCCGGCGGCGGGCCGATGATGGTCACGTTGTCGGCGTATGCCAGGAGGAGGACGTCTGGGTACTCCTCTGCTGTCGTGCTCAGCGCCTGGTGGAGGGCGAGGGCAAACAGCATGGGCCCAAGTGGGTCGCCTTGCCGTACGCCCCGCTCGCCGATGAGCGGTTCAGCGCCGAATGCGTGGTCGAGCAGCAAGCTCGATGGCCTTCCATAGGAGAGGCGGGTTAGTGGCATCTCCTTTCCTCTCGAACGGTCCTTCATTGCTGGGAGACCCTGGGTACAGGCGAAGCAGATAAGGTGGGTACAAGCATGTATGATATTCCTTGCCGAGCTCCTAGTCTACGGCTATTCCCTAGGGTGCTCAATGACAGCGAAGCAGTCCCCTAGGGACATGCCCGCCTCAGGCGCACCTAGGGGTGGCCACTCAAGTGGCGAAGCCTCATTCACCTTCCCGAGGTAGGTGAGGGCTTGTCCCGGCTGGAGGGTGACGGACCAGTGCTGGCGGAACTGACTTAGCAGTTTTGCCGCCTGGTAGGAACTGGGGTCGGCGTTGGAAAGGCGGCGGGCGGCCGTGTGTGCCAGGAGTTTGAGGAAGGTTGGCACTTCGGCGCATGGGCAGCCGTACGTCTCGACCGCGAGCGGGAAGAATCCGACGTATGCCGCCCTGTGGCGGTAGTCGTCGATCTTTTTGTCAGCTTGTTCCCGGTCCAGACCGCCCCCGAGTCCCGGTCACCAAGGTTCAAAATTACGGCGTTTTTTATATTTTTTGCCCGTATTTTACGGGTTCGTAATTTACGAATATTACGAATATTACGGCTCGAAATCACCTTTTTCGGGTTGGTTAAAAAAGACGGCCGTTTTTTACGGCCGTTTTTTTTTATCTGTGGTGTACATTCAGAATCTCGATTTCCGTACCAGAATTTAGGGGATGGGGGTACACGTGCACCCCCAAATGTTCATAAGTCAGCGTTTTCCCGAAGCGTGAATTAACCCGAACCCCAAGTCACCCATTTTACCAAAAAAATCTTGTGCCGTTATGAAAGAACCCCCCCCTTCGCGAAACCCGTTGGTTATTTCGCGCCCAGTAGGGTGGTCTCGCGCAATTTGCGAAACCACCCTGTCGAAGCGTGTTTCAAAAACATAACCCAATGGATTTTGGTTCTCTTCGAAGCCTTTCTCAACCCAACTTCGAAGTGTGTGAGATACAAATACAGAGGACGTTTTCTAAGCTACCACAAGACGTAGTTTGGAGCATTTTTCTGGCTGGAATCTAAGCCAGTTTATTTTACCGCCTAGCAACTCCAGATTTCCATGCTTGTAGGTGCCATGGTGCATTAGTAAGCATTCAGTTGATGTTGAAACCGCATAGGAGCCATTCCCCCTCGGAAAAAAAAAAAACAATGCGCTCTATTTAAATTACGCCTTTTTTTCCCAAACTGCCCAAAAAAACGGTCGTAATTTACCGACCGTATTTTTCGAAAACCGTAATTTTGAACCTTGCCGGTCACGCACGGCCAAGTCGGTGGTCTTGCCGTCAACGGGGTTGTAAATCGCAGTCTCCTTCGTGACTATGAGCTGCGCATCCCGCCCCATGCGAATGCATTCGTCACGGAGGGCATTGTGGGTGTCGGTGCGGCCGTGCCCTGTCCCACAGCGGAAGAGGTGGTTTGGGAGTCGTGGGTCCTCAATCGTCACCCGCTTGGCGCAGTTGCAGACCTTGGGTGCAGGGAAGGGGAGGCCCATACGGAATGCCAGGGCTATGGCATAGTGTGGGGGCGCCAGCCAGAGCAAGGGAAATAGGGGGATGGCGAGGAGCCAGTCGCCGGCTCTGTACCCAGTGAGGGAGTGGAGTCTCTGGGTGTGGCCGCTGAGGGGATTGAGCTCCATCTCCCTTGATGCGGCCAGCTGGCTGGCGAAGCGGGCTGCGTGAGCTCTCCTCTCCCCATCCCCCCCTTCCCGCCTCAACCCCCACCCCACACCCGCCGCCCGCCGCCCCCACTTCCATCTCCCTCCCTCCCTCCCCGTTTCCATCCATCCTTCCGTTCCGTCTTGCGTCTCCTTTCCTCTCTCTCTCTCCTTTCCTCTCTCTCTCCTTTCCTCTCTCTCCTTTCCCCTCTCTCTCTCCTTTCCTCTCTCTCTCCCCCGTCCACTGTGCTGCTGTGCTCTCCCGGCGTCGTCGTGTCGTCCTGCCGCTGCCGCTCTCACCCATCCGACTCCACTGGTCCTTGCTTCTCCTCTTCCCCTTCCCCCCTTCCCCTTCTCCCCCTCCCCTTCTCCCCCTCCCCTTCTCCCCCTCCCCTTCTCCCCTTCCCCTTCCCCCTTCCCCTTCTCCCCTTCCCCTTCCCCCTTCCCCTTCCCCCTTCCCCTTCTCCCTTCCCCTTCCCCCTTCCCCTTCTCCTCTTCCCCTTCTCCCCTTCCCCTTCTCCCCTTCCCCTTCCCCCTTCCCCTTCTCCTCTTCCCCTTCTCCCCTTCCCCTTCTCCCCTTCCCCTTCCCCCTTCCCCTTCTCCCCTTCCCCTTCTCTCCCTCCCCTTCTCCCTTTCCCCCTTCCCGTTCTCCCCTTGCCTTTCCCCTTCCCCCCTTACCCCTTCTCCCCTTCCCCTTCTCCCCTTCCCCTTCTCCCCGTCCCCTTCCCCTCTTCCCCTTCTCCCCTTCCCCTTCCCCCCTTCCCCTTCTCCCCTTCTCCCCTTCTCCCCTTCCCCTTCTCCCCTTCCCCCTCTCCCCTTCCCCTTCTCCCCTTCCCATTCTCCCCTTCCCCTTCTCCCCTTCCCCTTCCCCTCTTCCCCTTCTCCCCTTCCCCTTCCCCCTTCCCCTTCTCCCCTTCCCCTTCTCCCCTTCTCCTTCTCCCCTTCCCCTTCTCCCCTTCCCCTTCCCCCCTTCCCCTTCTCCCCTTCCCCTTCTCCCCTTCCCCTTCTCCCCTTCCCCTTCCCCTTCCCTTCCCCTTCCCCTTCCCCTTCTCCCCTTCCCCTTCCCCTCTTCCCCTTCTCCCCTTCCCCTTCCCCCCTTCCCCTTCTCCCCTTCCCCTTCTCCCCTTCTCCTTCTCCCCTTCCCCTTCTCCCCTTCCCCTTCCCCCCTTCCCCTTCTCCCCTTCCCCTTCTCCCCTTCCCTTACCCCTTCTCCCCTTCCCCTTCTCCCCGTCCCCTTCCCCTCTTCCCCTTCTCCCCTTCCCCTTCCCCCCTTCCCCTTCTCCCCTTCCCCTTCTCCCCTTCCCTTACCCCTTCTCCCCTTCCCCTTCTCCCCGTCCCCTTCTCCCCTGCCCCTTCTCTCCTTCCCAGCTTCCCCTCTCCAAACCCCATTCCTCTTGCCGCTGCCACCCCATTTGGTGTATTCGCCCTCCCGTTTCTTGACTCCCCCCCCCCCTGCCCCTGTCCCGTGTGGCTTCTTCCCCATCCCGCCCTCCCATCCTTTCCCACCCATTTCGCCCTCCCATCCTTTCCCACCCATTTCGCCCTCCCATCCTTTCCCACCCATTTCGCCCTCCCATCCTTTCCCACCCATTTCGCCCTCCCATCCTTTCCCACCCATTTCGCCCTCCCATCCTTTCCCACCCATTTCGCCCTCCCATCCTCTCCCACCCATTTCGCCCTCCCATCCTCCGCTTCCTATCCCCTCCCCCTTCCGGCCCCCCCATCCCGCCATCCCATGCCCCCCCCCCCATCCTGCCCGCCAGGCAGCACGAGGCGTCGCCCACGGCGTTGCATCTCATGGCGCCCAGCAGCACGCTGGGGCAGGTGAGGGGCGGGAGGGAGGAGAGTGTGTAGTGGTGGGTAGGGCGAGGAGAGGAGGGCCAGAGGGGAGATGAGGGGAGAGGAGAGGGGAGAGGAGAGTGGAGAGGAAACAAGGGCGACTGTAGCCGCGGTGCTGCAGCTCGTGGCAGGCAGCAGCACGGTGGCAGGCAGGCAGGTGAGTGGGGGAGGGGAGGTAGGTGAGGTGGGGAGAGGAAATGAGAGAGTCAGGAGGGAGGATGCATGGGGAGATTGGTGCAAGAGAGAGGTGTGTGGCCACAGCCGTGCAACTCATGCGCATTGAGACCGGAGATGAGAGTTGCAGGGGAGGAGAGGAGGGGAGCTGAAGAGGAGAGGGAAGTGAGGCAACTGGTGGGTGTGCGTGAGCAGCAGCTTCGGGGAGTTGGCCACTTGAAGCTGTTGCGGGAGGAAATTGTGGAGTGTGGAGTGGGGAGTGGAGTGTGGAGTGTGGAGTGGAGTCTGGAGTGGAGTCTGGAGTGGAGTGTGGAGTGGAGTGTGGAGTGGAGTGTGAAGTGTGGAGTGGAATGTGGAGTGTGAAGTGTGGAGTGGAATGTGGAGTGGAGTGTGGAGTGGAGTGTGGAGTGGAGTGTGGAGTGGAGTGTGGAGTGGAGTGTGGAGTGGAGTGTGGAGTGGAGTGTGGTGTGTAGTATGGAGTGGAGTGTGGAGTGGAGTGTGGAGTGGAGTGTGGAGTGGAGTGTGGAGTGGAGTGTGGAGTGTGGAGTGGAGTGTGGAGTGGAGTGTGGAGTGGAGTGTGGAGTGGAGTGTGTGGAGTGGAGTGTGGAGTGCGCGCATTCGTGTGTGATTCTGCCACGAGCCTTCTCCCGCCACCGCTGTATGGCCTGTGCCTTTTTATATGCACCATGTTGTCGCCGCTGCTGCCCTCCCCCTTTTCCTTAATCCATGGCTGCACCAGCTGCAGCGCGCCAAGGCCAGGTGCAGCGCCAAGGCCAGGTGCAGCGCGCCAAGGCCAGGTGCAGTGCGCCAAGGCCAGGTGCAGCGCGCCAAGGCCAGGTGCAGCGCGCCAAGGCCAGGTGCAGCGCGCCAAGGCCAGGTGCAGCGCGCCAAGGCCAGGTGCAGCGCGCCAAGGCCAGGTGCAGCGCGCCAAGGCCAGGTGCAGCGTGCCAAGGCCAGGTGCAGCGCGCCATGGCGCCAGTGACTGCCGCGCTCACGCCCCTCCCTGCTCGTCTTGCCCACCAACCCCCTCCGCCACCCCTCCCCTCCCTTCCCCTCCCTCTACCTCAGAGCGGCAGCACCAAAGCCAAGGTGAAACGCGCCATGGCGTTTGTCAAAGCCGGACTGACACCCCCCCCTGAGCTGCAGACACTGCTGCTGCGGGAGAGACGCGGAGGGGCGAGAGAGGAGAGCGCGGTGGATGGTGAGGAGAGTAAGGAGGAGGGGAAGGGTAGGTTGGCGTGGAAAGAAGAGAGGGGAAGAGGGAGGAGTGGGGAGGAAGGTGGGGAAGGGAGAGGGGTGGGTGAGGGGAGTAGAGAGGCGGCAGGGAAGGACGAGGACGAACAGGAGGGCGAATTGCAGATGGCCAAGGCTGGGACGGCCGACAGTGGTGCGGCTGTGAGAGAGGCCAGGCAGAGCAGCCGGGAGTACGGGGAGAGACACAAGGAGGACGCAAGAGAGGAGGGGGAGGTCAGTGATGATGGTGAGGAGGAGGAGGGAGGGGAGGAGGAGGAGGAGGGAGGGGAGGAGGAGGAGGGAGGCGAGGAAGAGGATGAAAGGGAGGAGTGTGAGGAAGTGAGGAAGGAGGCCGAGGGGCAGGAGGATCGAGGTGGAGCGATGAGCCACCGGAGAATGGCGACCAGCCAGGAGAGCCAGCAGCAAGGCGTGAAGGGCCACCAGGAGGGGATGGAGGAAGCTGCGAGGAAGGAGGAGAGTCTCATGGATGACGTCATCATGAGTGAATGCCGTAGGGGTGAAGGGCAGCAGCAGCAGCAGCAGGCACAGGCAGGGCGGGCAGAGAAGGGAAGGCTGGGAGGGGAGAATGGGGAGGGAGGGGAGGGAGGGGCAGGAGGGGCGGGAGGGGTTGGTGGTGTGAGGGGCGAGGAGGAGGGCAAGGCGGGGCGGGGCGGCAAGCTGTGGGTGCACGTGCAGCGGCGCGCCGAGATAGAGGCGCAGCGCGCGGGGCTGCCGGTGGTGGCAATGGAGGCGGACATCATGGAGGCCGTGGCGGCGAGCAGCACCGTCATCGTGTGCGGGGAGACGGGCTCGGGCAAGACCACGCAAGTGCCGCAGGTGGGTGTGTGGGTGCGTGTGTGGGTGTGGATGTGGGTGGTGTGAGAGGGGTGGGGGAGCTGTGTCAACCAGGCAACGCAGCTGCCCCATCTCTCACCCCTTCCCTCCTCCCCCTTGCATCCCCCTGCCCCCTTTACCCCATACATGCAACACTCCTCCCCTCCCCCCTCTCCCTGCATGCCTCCATCTCCACCACCCTACCCTCTTCTCCTGTTCCCCTCTTTGCTCCGCCCCCTCCCCCCTCTCCTCCCGCTCTCCCCTCCCCCACCCCCCTCTCCCCAACCGCTCCTCCCTTCCCCCCCTCCGCGTCCCCCTCTGCCCTCGCCCCTCGGGTCCTCCACGAGCCTGCCTGCGCCTCCGCCCTCCAAAGGCCACCCGCCATGGCAGCCGTGCGCGCGTGCTGCCCATGGGGGGGCGCATGGCTGGCGAGATGGGGACGACTGTGGACGCGGAGCTGCTTCCTTTTCGTCTCACTCCCCCCCTTCATCCCCCCTCTCCCCCTCCCCTTCCCCTACTCCCCCCCCAGTTTCTCTACGAGGCTGGCTTCGGCTCCTCCCTGCCAGGCGGCACGCCAGGAATGATAGGCGTGACGCAGCCGCGCAGAGTGGCGGTGCTGGCAACGGTCAAGCGCATCGCGGACGAGATGGGGGTCACTGTGGGCCGCCAGGTGGGCTACCAGGTGCGCTACGACCGCCACGTGGCGGGCGGCACTGGAGGCACGGGCGGCTCAGCGATAAAGATCATGACGGACGGCATTTTGCTGCGCGAGGTGCAAGCGGACGTGCTCTTGAGGCAGTACAGCGCGGTGATCCTGGACGAGGCGCACGAGCGCAGCGTGAACACCGACATCCTCATCGGGCTGCTCTCACGCATTGTGCCGCTCCGAGAGGCAAGAAAACCATGGGGCGTGGGGCGTGGGTGGTGGAGCATTGGGGGTGGGGTGTGGGGTGTGGGGCATGGGCTTGAGGGCGTGCTCTTAAGGCGGTACAGCGTGGTCATTCTCAATGTGGCGCACGAGTGCAGCATCAACATGGCCATTCTTATCGGGCTGCTGCCACGGATACTGCCGCTCACGCAGGCAAGCACGGCGTGGGGTGTGGGACGTGTGGGGTATAAAGAGTTGGGCATGCGACACAGCACACTCACTGTTGGGCCGATGTCAAACTGGCAGCGCTGCTGGCATCATCCAATGTGCCTTGAGTGCGCTGCTGGCATCATCCAATGTGCCTTGAGTGCATTTAACTACGAAACATGGAGCATGCCGTATGGCCACATGGCATGGCATGTCACACTCACAGTTGGACCCATGTCCGACTGGCAGCGCTGCTGGCATCATCCACGTGCCTTCAACGCGTCCACCAGTGTGCCTACAGCGACGCCTAGAGCTGCTCTCTGCCACGCTGCCCTGGGACGCACAGCCCATGCTCGTGCCTCTCTGCCATGGCGGCTGAGGTCGTTCCGCTAGCTCACACTGGCAACGATGAATGCTGACATCAGGAAACTTACCTGCCGACGTCAGGAATCCTTAACTGCTTACATCAGCAGTGATGAGTATAAGTGCTCCTTTCTTATCGACCACATCACTACTCATTCCCACATCTCGAATGCTTTCCCTCTCGCATGCTCCTCTCACAGGCTCCCTCACACTTTGTTGCCACTAACACCTCATTTCCGTTTGCCCCGTACCCTCCTCTCTGCCTCCTCACAAGCCACACGGCCAAGCCAAGAGCAGCAAGCACTTACCATCCGCTGCCCTGCGCCCGCCCGCGGGCTCGGCATCATGGGCGCCGCGCCGCGCATCCAACTCTCCACTGGCACTTGTCCCACCCACCTCTCCCGCCCCTCCCATCTCCTCACCCCACCCCCTGCACGTGTGCCTGTCACCAGAAGCTCTACAACGAAGCCAAGAGCAGCAAGCACCCCTCCTCCGCGCCCCTGCCGCCCCCCCTGAAGCTGATCATAATGAGCGCCACGCTGCGCGTCCAAGACTTCACCCTCAACCCGCGCCTCTTCCCCTCGGGCCCGCCGCCCGTGGTCTCCGTGCCCGCGCGCCAGTTCCCCGTCACCGTGCACTTCGCCCGCCGCACCGAGCTCGTGGACTACGTCCGGGCAGCCGAAAAAAAGGTTTCGGCGATCCACAGGCGGCTGCCCGCCGGAGGGGTTCTGGTGTTTCTGACCGGGCAGCGAGAGGTGGAGGACCTCTGCAGGAAGCTTCGGAAGAAATTTCCTGTGAAAGCGGGAGGGCAGAGAGGGGGAGAAGGGGGGGATATAGGAAAAGGGGGAAACGGGAGCAGGGTGGCTGGGGTAAGTGCTGGTAACAGTGCCCGAGAGAGAGCTGGGGATGGGGGTGGTGAAAGGGCGTGTGGAGAGAAGGCGAAGGGCAAGGGGGGGAAGGGAGAGGAGGGAAGAAGAAGGGGAGAGGAGGATGGTGAGAGTGGGGAGGGGCAGCAGAGGGAGCATGACGCGAACCTAGACGCCATAGTTCGCATGGAGGGGGGCGAGGGGGCAGAGAGGGACGAGAAGGCAGAGAGGGGCGAGAAGGCAGAGAGGGCAGGGAAGGAAGGCAGTGGAAAGAAGGAGGATGGGGCGGGGAGAGGGGAGGATGAGGCAGTGGGGGGCGTGAGGGATGGGGAGGAGGAGGAGGCGGAATGGGAGGCGGTGGCAGAAGGGGTAGTGGATGAGAGCGACGATGACTACGAGGAGGAGGAGGAGGAGGAGGAGGAAGATGAGGAGGAGGAGTGGGAGACGTGGGGATTGCTAGGGGGAGAGCAGGGGGAGTTGCAGGCGGGAGAGGGAGCGGGTGATGGAGCACAGTCGAGCGGCGCTGCTGCTGCTCATGCCTCAAAGGAGGCAGCCAGCAAGCAGAGCCCCTGGGAGGGTGTGGCGCCGCTCTCGCAGCTGCTGCACGCCGCGGGCAGCACGGGTGCTGGCGGGCGGGCAGGTGCAGAAGCAGCAGGAGGGGGAGGCAGGATGGCGGATGAAGGGGGTAATGGGGGGGCGGGGGGAGAGCAGGCGGAGGGGGCAAGGGCTGATGGGACGAATGGAGAAGAAGGGAGCGAGAGGGGCAAGCAAGGGGCAGGTGCCGTGGATGGGCAGCAGGGGCAGCAGGGGCAGCAGGGGCCGGGCGGCATGTATGTGCTGCCGCTGTATGCGATGCTGCCAGCAGCGCAGCAGCTGAAGGTGTTCGGTGCAGTGCCCGAGGGGTGCCGCCTGGTGGTGGTTGCCACCAACGTGGCTGAGACCTCCATCACCATCCCAGGTGAGTGCAACAGACCAGGTGATTGCAACAGTTTAGGTGATTGCAATAAACCAGGTGATCGCAACAAACCAGGTGATCACAACAGATCAGGTGATCGCAACAGATCAGGTGATCGCAACAAACCAGGTGATCGCAACAGATCAGGTGATGTGATCAAGGGCTGGTGATTGCAGCAAATAAGGGGATGTTGTCATGCCAGTAGCTTGCGGGGTTTCGGTTGACTCCTTCTGTTGGTTATCAGCTCCCATCACGCCTCTATCCCTCCACTCCTCCGCACACCGCTACAGCAGGCCTTAGCCGCCCTGCCTGCATGGCTTCTCATACTCGCCCTCACTCCCTGTGCACTCTTTCTCCGCTCCTGTTCAGGCATCCGTTACGTGGTGGACAGCGGGCGGGCCAAGGTCAAGCACCACGCAGTGGGGTCAGGCTTGGCGCGCTTCACAGTGGAGTGGATCTCCCGGGCCTCCGCAGACCAGCGCGCAGGCAGGGCGGGGCGCACGGGGCCGGGGCACTGCTACCGGTTGTACTCGAGCGCGCTGTTTGGCAACGAGCTGGAGGCGTTCGGGCGGGCGGAGATAGAGCGGACGCCTATAGAAGGGGTGGCGCTGCAGATGAAGGCCATGGGCATCGATAAGGTGCGCTCATGGGGGGGCGGGGCTCTTTGGGTCTGTGGGGATGGGGCTCTTATAGGGGTGTGTGTGAGGGGGCGGGTTAATAGGGTACGTGGGGTTGGGGTTAATAGGGTGTGTGGGGTTGGGGTTAATAGGGTGTGTGTGTTTGGGGGGGGTTGGGGGTGGGGCTCATACGGTGTGGCAGGGTGGCAACTCATATCCTTCCCTTACCTTCCTGCATTTCCTCCCCCTCGCTTCACTCCTGCTATCCTCCCGCGTGCGTGCGTCAAGGCGTCGCTGTGGCCCATGTTTGTGCACGGCAATCACAACTCTCATGCCATCCCATGACTCACTCTCCCCTTGCCCCTCGCCCTTGCTTCCCCGCCCCCCACCCCCCTCAGGTTCTCAACTTCCCCTTCCCCACGCCCCCCGACCCGCACTCCCTCGCCTCCGCCCTGCGCTGCCTGCAACACCTCTCCGCCCTCCCCCCCTCCGCCTCCCCTTCCCTCCCCTCGCCCTCCCCCTCTCTCTCCTCGCCCTCCATCACCCCTCTGGGCCGCGCCATGGCGTGTCTGCCAATCAGCCCCCGCCACGCGCGCACCCTGCTTGCAGTCCTGGTAGAAGCTGCCAGGAAGGTTCCTGTGGCGGATCTGATGGGTGGCAGAGAGGGGAGTGAGGGTGGGGCGCAGGGAGGGACGGAGGGGAGGGAGGCGGAGGGAGTGGGGGTGGGGAGGAGGAAGGGGAAGAGGCGGTACATGGATGGGGCGGCAGAGGAGGGGGGGGATGACAGGCGCAGCAGGGAGGGGGGTGTGGGGCGAGGACACAACAAGGGGGGGAAAGAGCGGGATGAGCAGGAGGAGGTGGGGCGGGTGAGTGCAGTGGTGGTGCGGTATGCCATCGCCGTGGTGGCGGCCATGAGTGTGGACAGCCCCTTTCTCCGTGACCAGGGAGGCACTGCGGGCCAAGGCGAAGAGGGAGGGGGGAAGAAAGGTGAGGGGGAGGACGGCAAGGGTGGAGGCGAGGGAGAGGCGAGGGCAGGTGAGGGCGGGAAGGGCAGTGGTGCCAGCATGGATGGTGGAGCCAAGCAGGGTGCACCAGGCGCAAGTGCCTCGCCTGGCTGTGCGTTGTCGCGCCGTGCGGCACATGCGGTGTTTTGGAGCCGCAACAGCGACGCCATCACGGCCGCCAACGCACTCCGAGCGTACGACGCTGCTGTCAGAGGCATGAGGGGCAGGGGGGGGCGCGCAGCACAGGCGGCCGGGGCGGAGGGCGGCGAGAGCAGGGCGGGCGCAGGGGGGTTTGGAGGAACGGGCGAGCGGTTCTGCCGGCGGTTCTTCCTGCACGAGCGCAGCATGCGCGAGATGTCGCAGCTGGCGCAGCAGCTGTCGCGCGTCCTCGTATCGGGCCAGCGCGCCCACGTGCTCCAGTCCTTCCTCTCCCTCGCCCTCTCCTCCCCCACCCGCCCTGCCGCGCCTGTACCTCTCACTCTCCTGGTGGAGCGAGGGGAGGAGCTGTGGGCGGGGAGGGAGAGGGGCGTGGAGGGGCGGGTGGAGCCGGGGTTGAGGGAGTGGGAGGAGGGGCTGTTGAGGCGGGGGCTGGCTGCGGGCTGGGCGGACCGCATGGCCCGCAAGCTGGCACCGGGCGACAAACCTGCAGCAAGTGCTACAGCCGCTGCTCACAACCTACCGAAACGTGCCGTGCAGTACGAGACACTGTTCATGGACGAGCCCGTCCTCCTCCACCCGCGCAGCGCCGTGTTCCGCTCGGCCCCTCCCCTGGTGCTGTTCAACGAGATGGTGCAGACTGACACACGCCCCTTCCTCGTTGGCGCCACTGCCGTCGACCCCGCCTGCCTGCCCGCCTGCTGCCCCGCGCTCTGCTCGCTCTCCAAGCCGCTGTCCGACCCGCCCCCGCGCTACCACCCGCCCTCGGACCGCATCCTGGCGTCCGTCTCCGCTGTGTACGGCCCCAAGCGCTGGGCGCTGCCGCCGTGCACCGTGGACCTGGAGGGGGGCAGGGAGCGCGCTGCTGTGTTCGCGTGCGCGCTGCTGCAGGGGCACGTGCTGGCAGCCGTGAAGCGGTTACATGGGGTGCTGGCTGGTAACCCTGCGAGCTTGCTGCGGCCAGAGGGGCTGGCTCAGAGGCGGGCGGCTGACCTGGTGCATAAGCTGCTGGTGGGGGTGAGGGGGGGGAGGGGGGGAAAGGGGGGAGGAATGGGAGTGGTGGTGGTGAGGGAGAGGGGGGTGTGAGGGGACCTGTTGACAGTAAGGCGAAGCTGAGGGCTGCTTGGGAGTGTGACAGTGAGTTTTTGAAGGCGGAGGTGAGGATGTGGGTGCGAGCAGGGCAGGAGGGGGTGGTTGATGGGTTGTGGCCGGAGATTGTGAAGGAAGTGGCTGTTGGAGGCAAGAAGATGGAAGCAAGGAGATTCATGTAGTCAAGTCATGTGACAAAAATGTAGTCTGTAACATTTGACATCTGGTGGTTTGGAAGATGTACAGGTTGAAGTGTGCAATGCACCATGAATAAAGAAATACCATGATTTCTCTGTTAGTCATATGGAACAATGGTCAATGCTGTTGTATAGCGTTTATCAGTCCAGTGGATTGAAATGGATAACGACGTGACTAAATCGCATACCTCCCTAGATATTTTCGTCCTCCGAACTTTCCGCGCTTCGCCAATGGTTGAGGCTTCGAACCGAAGCCTGTGCTTCGACTTGCTCGCCCGAGCCTCGTCAAAAGGCACGCCACCCTCCTTGGCAGGGCAGTGACAGTCCAGCCTGGGGGCATGCCACGGCAACTCCTTTGCTGGGCTGCACAAGGCAGTTGGGCTCAAATTCACTCTCTCACAAAGCTGCATGCTTGCCCGTGCGCTCCATTGCTTCCTCTTCACCACCTTGCTCATTCAGCAGCTTGGATTTGTGTGCTTCTGATATACTAGGTAAGACGAAGTCGGCATGATACTCTCTTTGCCGCTTTGGGTGCTTCGTCCTCGTTTCATTCTTGTTTTCCTCATCACCTGGACTGCTCCTGCTGTGCTCTAGTTGTCGTCGCTTCTCTGCGTTTCGCAATAGCCTCCGACGTTGAAGGCGCACGGCGCTGCACCGCAACCGACCCACCGGCTGTGCGCCGACCACGCCCTGCGGTGGTTGGGCATTCTATGCTGCGGAGGATGCCTCGCCATTCACCGCACCCTAGCTTCTGACCATTCCGTTTTTTTCCTTTCTTTTTTCCGCCTTCCTTCCCTGCTTTCCTCGACTCGGTCTCGCCGATTCGAGCACCACCAGCCACGAGCCACACCCGAGCACTCATCATTCTCCGCTTTGCTAGATTCCGAAGACCTGTTTTCTTTGGTCCCATGCTCCATATTCCTTGCTTGCCATCGCGTTCCCTCCTCCCTGGCACCAGCGATCAACCAGCACCCGTCCGCCGTCATCCCGCCGTAAGCCCGCATCCGCCGTCACCCGGCTCGCGAGGCGCGATGGGCATTGCGAGCAGGTGGAATGTGCAGTCGACGGTGAAGATCGCGTTCGCCGTTGTCGTCGGCACCACGCTCGTCAGCTCCTACCTCTACGCGGTGAGACTTTTGTAGTGTGGCCTGTTTCTAGTCGAGCTCAGAGGTTATATTTGGTGAATGTCACCTTCGCCGTCGTCGTCGGCACCACGCTCGTTAGCTCCTACCTCTACGCGGTGGGGCCCTCGTGTCGCGCCACGAGTAATGACTCCTGTTGCAAATGCGGCTCAGTAAAGGGAGCCGCTATCATGAGTGCATGTCCACAGTGGAACGTTTTGTCCGCACTTTCGATACCGGCTTCACAAAACGTTCCAGTGGACACGAAAAGGGCATGTTTTGCTTCGTCTCGCTACCGCCCTTGACCCTCTCCCCTCGCTCTACCGCCTGTTGGGGTCCATCTGCTGGGATCCGCTGCTGCCGTACGCCCCTGCTCATACATGCGCACGATGGGCAGCGGTGTTCCATGGCGGGTCACCAAGCCAGCAAGTGCTTGTGCCAGGGCGGCCCCTTGTCACCGTTGCTGGTGTACGTGCTGGCTCTTAGGGGGTTATGATGCCTGTGGCAGCGCCACTTGGGTCGTGCGAGCAGATGCTTGTGCAAGAGCAGGTCTTTGTCACTTGCACTGCACGTGTGCGTCAAGGCTCTTACATGCTTGAGACACCCCCGCCTGTGACAGGTCCGCCGCGAGCAAGCGCTTGCAGGAAGAGGTCTTCATCCAACATGGCGTATTCCCGCCGTTTCTGCTCCGACTCCGCTGGTTTCCGTCGCCGTCAATCGCCTGACTCTCCTTTTCTCACCCAGCCCCCCTCTCACTTGCCCCCCGACCCTTACCATCCTCTCAGAGCAAGTTGAAGGCCCAAGCAGCTTCAGGCGCAGGGAAGAAGTGAGAGGTTGCACATGCCTGTCTGTGCCAGCAAGTGCTTCTCAACGCCATGAAGCCGCCAGTGATGCCTCCAGATCGATCAAGACACACCCATCTCTTCTCCTGCTCCATTATTGAGATTCCATAGCCAGTGAATTAGCTAGAACTAGATCAGTGGACTGGACATGGTCACTTCAAAATGCACGGCAACTTCAATAACAGCTGAAGCAGTTTATAGCAACATTGCATTTTCGCATGCAGCCACAAGCAGCTAGCCATTAGGAATCTATTTTCCCTGGAATGATGAGGTCTGCTGGCAGGAAGGAGCACGGCTGCAGTGCGGGTGCTGCAGATGATGCCCAGGTCGACGGCTCCATGGCACCTGTCATGACAGCAGCGTGCATGCCACCATGCACGGCTGCTGCTGATGCCACCACCATGCCCGATTCCTCCTCCTCATCCTCCTCCTCCCCGCCCCACACGTCACTCCCCAGCTCCCCATCGCCCCCATACCCCACGTCGCTGCCATACCCCGAGTCCCCGCTCTGCCCCTCACTCCCCACCCGCTGGCCCCGCCTCTCCTCGCCCCCCGGTCCCCCCTCCTGCTCCCACGGCCCCTCCCGCGCCCACCCTCCCCCCCGCACCCACTCTCTGTCCAGCGCCTCCCCCTCCACTATGCTCCTGGGCGTGCTGCTGCTCGCCCCTCTCATGTGCCTGCCGCGCAGCAGCAGCAGGCGAACCCACCCAATAGGGATCAAGGCAAGCATTAAGTAGGGGAGTGAGGGGAGGGGGGTAACGAACGGGGGGGAGAAGATGGAGAGGAGAGGGAAACCATGCGGAGAGGGCGAACGAGGGGGAGGGGGGGGGGAGAGGAGGGGCGGATGGACAAGAGCGTGTGAGTGAGAGAAAGATTAGAGGGAGGGAGAAAGTGGGAGACAGAGGAAGAGTAGTGGGGGGGTGCAATCAACGAAGGAGCATGAGGGAGCACCTTCCTCTTGTCCCTTGCGGCAGGTCAATCCCCGTGCTGCTGCTGCTGATGTACCCCCCCCCTCCATACACCACCTGCTGCTGCCCCCCCTCCTCACACCCCTCCTCCGCCCCCCGCCTCTGCCTCCACCTCTCCACGCACGCCCCACCCACCCTGCTCCGACTCCTCCCCACTCGCACGCCGCCTCGCCCTCCCCCCCCACAGCTCCTTGTGGCCGCGCTGCTGCGCCGGCTGCTGCGCCCGCCCTCCACGCGCGCCTGCCGAGGCGCGCGCGAGGCTCTGCTGGCGTCGTCGGCGTGCCACGGCGCCTTGCCGGGCCGGGAGGTGCCGTAGTACAGCTCGCCGCTGGCGCGCGTGGCACGCTGCGCTGCAACCGCTGGTGATGCAGGGAGCCCGCCACACACCCTCCCACCACCACCGCTGCGTCGCTCATCATGTCCCGCAGCAGCAACAGCAACAGCAGCAAAGGCATGACACGGCGCGTGGGAAGGGAGGGGCGCGTCTGACTGCCTGCCCGCATCGGAGCTTCTCCCAAACTCAGACGGCGGGTTGGCATCAGACTGGCGCTCGCGATCAGACTGCTGGCCGCGGTCCGACAGCACAGCAGCACTGGCAGATGCTGAGGCGGACGCGGAGGGGTCGAGAGGGTTGGAGGCGCATGATGTGTCGCACGGCCCGCCAACGCGGTCGCTGGTGTGGCCTGACACCCCTCCTGCGCTGTCACGCACTGATTGGATGGTGCAGCGCCGCCTCTTGCGAATCTGAAAATGTGGATACAGGGAGCATATTGAGACAACCACAAGAAAACTGAGCATACTCTATTGCTTGGATTAGGGCATGGCGTGGAAAGTGCAGCAAGATACTGCCACAAGAGGCTAGCATTTGAACATTAGAAAAACAGCAGCAGGCAGCAACACTACGAAAGAGAAGAAGGGAGCATTCAGCAGGCACCTTACCCGTTTTGTTCTCTCTGTTGCGCCCACCTCACCTGCTTTCCCTCCCTCCATCGCCCCGTGCCTCGCCCTGCCCCGCCTGCCACTGCCCCCTGCTGCCCCTCCCCCACACCCCCGCCACCTGCTGCACCCTCCCCCTCATCCCCCTCCTCCGAGCTCTCACTCGCCTCCCCCCCTCCCATCAGCGCCACCCGGCATCCCATCCACTCCTCCACACCGCCCCGCTCCCGCACCCTCTGCTGTGCCGCCCACACCGCCCACTGCATCCCTCCCCCTCCACTCCACCCACCATCGCACTTACCACACACCTCCTCCCCCTCCTCCTCGTCCTCCTCCTCCTCCACCTCCGCATGGTAATCACTGCTGTCGCTCCCCCTCTCCCCTGCCAACGCCTCCCTTCCTGCCCGCTTGCGCCCGCACATCTGCCAACCTGTCCCCCCCCTGCCGCCGTGCTCACCACTGCCTGGTTCCCGCCCATGGCCATGGCACCCGCCCCTCTGCTCTCGCGCGCACTGCCTTCTGCCCCCCCCTCATCCACGTCCGCCCGCCCCGCGCTGCTCCTGCCACCGGCAGGCCCCGCTGCCTGCTCGCCTTTTGCTGCCGCTCGCTCCGCATCCCCTCCCGCCCTCTGCCACCTCACCCGCCGCTTCATGAACCGGGGAGATTTCAACACACCCTCTCCACCAGCCGTGCCAGCAGCCGGACCACTGCCAGCAGGCGCATCACTCACCCCTCCTACACTCCACCTTGCTGCTCTCGACTCCACCCTCCCGCCACTCCCTGCGCGCCCTCCCTGTGCACGCCCACCACCGTCGCCCCTTCCCTCTCCATCATCAACCGTCGCTCCCCTCTCTTGTCCTTCCTCCATTCCCCCTCCTCCGCTCTCCCCTTCTCCTCGCCTCCGCCCCTCTCCCCGCCCTGACACGCCCCGTCGCCTCCCTGAGGGCGCGCCACCAGGGGGCTGGGGCGGGCCCATCGTGCAGTCGCCACTTGCTCGTGCCCGCGCCTCGCCGCGTTCGCCTGGCGCCGTGCCACTGGGTGCTACGGCGTTTGGGGCCTCGCCTGGCAGCCCCGCACAGCGCAGCGGCCCCTGTGCAGGGCTGGCCATGTGAGCGCTGGCGCCCGCACTGCTGCCAGGGGTGCTCATCGCTACCAGGTGCTTGCCGCTCCCCTCGCCTTGCGCCCGCCTGTGCGCGCCCCCCTCCGCACCCCTCTCCGCGTTCCTCTGCCCATGGCCCTCCCCCTCCGCGTGCCCCCTCCCGCGCCCATGCGCACGTCTCCCCCCGCCACTCCCCGGCCGCGCTGCTCTGCGCGCTGTCTGCTGCTCCAGTGCCGCCCAGCTCTCGTCCGAGCTCCCTCCAGACCACCCTGACGCCCGCACGCCTCTGCCCCGGAAACTTAACCGAGCCTCATGCTCAGGCTTGGCAAGCTCTGTCATTCCGAGCCTCCCAGCGTCGGCGCATGTGGAAAGCATTGCTGCGACGGGGGCACTAGGCGGGACAACGAAGGTCGCGGAGAGCCAGGTCGTCTCGTGCTGCTGCTGCTGCTCCAGCGGCAGCGGCTGCGCCGCCCACACCTCCTCGCAGCTGCTCGGGCCCTGCCCCACCGCGCCCCCTTCCTCCGCCTCCTCCGTCCCCTCCCCTTCCTCCCACCCGGCCTCATCGCGCTCATCCGCGCCCCTCAATTCCGCCGTCGCTGCAGCCGTCGCCGTTCCGCACGTCGACCCAACGGCGCCCTCCGCCTGCGCGCCCTCCCCCTGCCCGAACGGGCTCCACGCGCCCAGGCGGTCGAGGCACGACGCCAGCTTCCGCTGAGCGCGCCTCCGCGCGGACGCCCGCCCGCGGTGAGTCGCGCGCGAGGCTGCGGCGAGGGGGTCTGGTGGCGGAAGCAGAGGGGAGTCGAACGCCGCGGATTGAGCCATCCCGCGCAGCGACGCGATGCTCTCGAGGACGCGGGGCTTACAGTACGCGCCGAGCTCAGGGGCCCTCGAGACCTGCTGGGCGACTCGCGATACCCCACGCTAAGACCCGAGATGCCCCACGCTGAGACCCGCGGTACCTTGACGGAAGCGGGGCTCAAGGCCGCTCTAAACGAGACGCCGGCCTCTAGTCGTTGCAGCAGCGCGTCACACTAGGCGCCGAAGGGTGCCGCTTTCATTCCATGGGCGCGAGTGAAACGAGCATTTCAACTCCAGGAAGTACAAGTGCCGCCTAAATTCTAAGGGCGTGTCCTGAGTGCCAACTCAAAAGAAGTTCTACCACTGCAGATTACTACAAAGCAAAGACCACTACCCAAATGTGCTCAACCGAGCTGCACCAGAAATCAATAACGAGATTTTTTTGCACTTGTGACAACCCTAATTTTCCCGCACACACCGCGCCATCGACTCACCTCACCTCATCCGCAGCGCGCCACGGCCGAGGAGGCCCGGGGCTACGTCCGGGTGCATGTGATGGGGGGCGAGGTTTGCGGGAAAATTTCTGCCGCGGACTGCCCACAAGATCGTTCATACTTTCAAGGACACGCCCCACTTTCACGGACACCATGTCGAATGTTTGCTTCTCCCGTGGACAGCGGGCATACTTCCATCGACACACGCGAAATTGCAGTAAAACACGTACAAATCATATTCCCTTAGCACCCGGGGGGCGACGCGGGAGATTTTCCTTTTAACAAATACTGGCTGTACGGTAGGGGCAACGTGGACTATGGAGTTTCCCAGGAAATGGGGCGTTGTTTTTTATGTACTGTGCATATGCAGCGACTCAGTAAACATCGCCACGTCGCAAGCCTCTCCACCTGTGTATCAATTCCGTGTTTCAAGAGAATGTCAGATTCCTTGGCGCGTTCCTATTGGCTATGGGTTGACGGATATTCCTGGGGCAATGCCGACGGATTCCGTTGGCGTTGCAGGCGTAATTCTACTGGACCGTCAGCGAGCTGTCCGTATCTAGCGCATCATGTGGATTTTTGCCTCGACATTGGTTGGCGAGCCTGGCGCATCTGGATTTTTAGAGGCTCGCGAACCACTAGGTGTGGTCGCTCTGAAAACACAAGAGCAAACTGATTGAACGACCTTGGATCAGCCGACTTGACTGTCTAATTTACTGTTCAATTGAGACGAGTACGCTTTGTGTACAAGGGGTGACCCTTAAGGATAAAATGCCTATGGAGTACTCCTGGGCGTAAAAAGGGGTCGTCTACAAGGCATATGACATGTAATCAGAACGTAGGTATGATGATGGGCGAAAAACAAAAACTGCAGCATTCGGGGCCGTCGCAAAGGGTCGCAAACTACAGTTGTAACCAACTAGGTCAGCATGCTGTTTCGAGTATCTAAGATATCTTGCAGCGACACTCAAATCCATTTCACAGACAGTAACGTACAAGCTACAATCGACACCATGGTATATCAGGCACAATGCGCCAAACTCCGTCATTAAACGAAATATCAACACTCTACATGATATCCAATGTATTAACATTAAGGAAATACATATATAGCTCTCGACAATTAAATCAATCGGACAATAACCGCAAAACTCTGATTTGTAAAGAAAATGTACGTAATTAATGAATCTGTATTACAACCAACTACGAAATTTCCATGTATTATTGAATAGACGCTATTCTACCGGTATCTGGTATATTCTCTACAAAGAAATTGTATGCCATGAGCCTTAGCAATATTACGAAAATGTGATCAAATTGAATGGGCAAATTTTGTCAATAGGAGAATCAAGCATTTCATATGATGCATCCTTAGCCTTATCATAAACACATTTAATGTTTGTGAAATTCTCAAACAACGGATGGAAGTACCTGAACCACGAAATATAAACAGTGCATATTATGCTGACTCTTATGAAGAAATAATGTTCAAGTTGTTGCGCGGATGCGTGACTTCTTTTTCATGCGGAATAGCAATACAGCGGGTATGCTTTATGCTCCAACTCCGCGACTCGCAAATATGGACTACGACGAATAGGAGCGGTACGAAATGGGCAAACTAGATAATAGAGTAGCACGAGAGATTTTAGGTGGGGTGGCGAAGGTCGTTTTACTCGTTCTGTTCACGATTACGTATTGGCCACTTCGGCCACGTTTACCAGCGATTTCGCCGCGTGTCATGTGAGGGCTCATGTGGCCTCTTAAAAAACGCTCAGCGAATTTGTCGTCTAGTGAGAAACACGAGGACAAAAAAAGTCACACCTCGTTCTCGACCTTCCCACAAGCAACGCAGGCTCAAAACGCGCAAAACAAATAATAAGGAAAACCCTTTTCGTGGTATCACGAAAAGGGCTAAGCGGAACAAAATTTTGACGACATTATTGAGTTGTTTCGTCAACCAACCGCACGTTTTTACGAAAGCAAAAAAGACCCCCTTGAGAAAAACATTTTCGAAATGTGCTTGTTAATTGTGATTGAGGGAACGAGGGTCGTGTTTCTGTATTCGGGACGGACTTGTTCGTGTTACGCGGGAAGCCTGAATATTTACGAGATTGTTTCAGTCGTACACCCTACCGGACTCCCCGCTGCATAATGGGGTCACTGACCGATGCATTGGCTTGATCATGGAGGTGGCTTGTACCTCCATGATTCATGCCGGTGCACCCCATTTTCTGTGGCCGTTCGCCGTTCGCTACGCCGTTCACCAGCTTAACCTCCGGCCATGCTCCCAGCGGCCGCAGGTTTCGCCGACCCTTCTTTGGACCGGGTTCCCTGGTGACGCGTCCGCGTACCACGTCCGGGGCTGCCTCGCTCACGTTCGTGCCTCTGGCTCGGACAAGCTCACTGCCCGCACTGTCCCCTGTGTCTTCCTCGGTTTCCCCCTGGAATCCTCTGACTGGCACTTTTACCACCAGCCGTCTCACCGCTTCTTTCACTCTCGTGACGACGTGTTCGACGACTCTGTCTCTTTTTACCACCGCTTTCCCCACTGAGGTCTCCCGGTTTCCCCTCCCCGGCTACTGGTTCCCACTCCCCCGCTAGCCCCTGCTCACCTTCCCCCCCGTCCTGCTCCGTCTAGTGTGTCTCACGTCACTCCCCTCCTGTTGGTTGTCCCGGTCGAGGAGTCGGCTGAATCTGGTGGCCCTGTGGCGCAGTTCTTGCTGCCTGTCTCTCCCCCGGTGTCTCCTCCTCCGCCATCAAAGTCGCCGCCACCGCAGCAGCAGCCGCCGCCGCCGCCGAAGCAGCCGCCACCGTCGCCGCAGCAGCAGCCGTTCGTGGCCTCTGGGGGTGCTGGCGTTGGGGAGGGTACTAGTCCTGGGGTTCCTGTCATGGCTTGTCCCCGCGGGCTTGGGGGTGGCACTGGTGCTGGAGAGGGTTCTCGCTCTGGGGGTGCTTGTTCTGGGGGTGCTGGAGTGGAGTGTTCCAGAGGTAGCCGCGGTGCAGCTGGCGGTCCAGGTGTCGGCATCGAGAAGCAGCAGCAGCAGTCGCCGTCAGTGTCCGTCCTTCGCCTGCTCGGCCTTACCTCCCCTGACCGCTTGCCTGCGCCTCCCCCACCGCCTCCACCCCTCCCTGTCCACGGTCCTTTCCCACCTCGTTCCCCTCTTGTTACTCCTCCTCTGTCTCCTTACCTAACGCCTCCGTCCCACGTCTGGTCTCGCCGTCCCTCTCGTGCCTGTCCTGTCTCCCCTATTCAGCGTTCTCACCCTACGTTGCTTCGTTCCCATGCGTCTCGTCCTCCCCTCCTGCCTTCACCTCCTCCATCATCGCTCGCTGTCACGCCTCCCCCTCTGTCTGACTTCCTTCGTGCTGCTCGTCCTCTTGTTTCTGGGGTCCTTGCCTCCCTCGTTACCGACCTGTCTGTTCCACTCTCGAGTCTTGGTGCTCTTGTCGCTGCTGTCGCTAACTTCGCCTCTACCCACCGCCTTGACTACGCCTCCGCTCTGGTCTCGGACTCTGTCTGTCCTCCGTCCGTCGGGGGTGCTCGTGCCCTTGGCAGTGACATCCTAGAGGGCAAGCAGTACGAGCTTGCTTCCTCCCCATCTCTGCTCTATGCTGCTAGTCCCTGAGGGTGACCCAGACGCCTTTGACATCCCGACCCCTCGCACTTACGCTGAGGCGACCTCAGGAGCGTTGTCCTCTCAGTGGATAGGTGCCATGGAGCAGGAGATGGCATCTTGGAGATCCACCAGCACGTACGTTGACGCAGTTCCCCAACCTGGGGTGAACGTAGTCGACGGCCGATGGCTCTTCAAGGTGAAGCGCCCCCCTGGAGAGCCGCCTGTCTTTAAGGCGTTCTACGTGGCTAGAGGCTTTAGTCAGCGAGTGGGGGTGGACTTCTTTCAGACCTTCGCCCCGACCCCGAAGATGAGTACACTTCAGGTGCTGCTACAAGTAGCAGCACATCGTGACTACCAGCTCCACTCCCTAGACTTCTCCACTGCTTTTCTTCAGGGCAGCCTATACGAGCAGGTCTACCTGCGTCGACCGAAGGGCTTCACCGGCACCTTCCCTCCTGGGACCCAGTGGCTCCTCTTCCAGTGGCTGGACTAGTAGTGCCGCCCGGGTTTGCTCCTGTCTTGTTTGTACTCTTGCTGACTGGTCTTCGGATGCCTGTCTCAGATGTTGAACTAGTAGTGCCTATAAAAGTTAACGAATGACTAGAACCATGGCATACAAGGGAATATAACCTAGTGGGTTGTACTCTCTGAGGCACAACCCTGTATAGTCTATAACCACATACATGGATATGTTTGACACATTCCCTAGACTGGATAGGGGCAGTGCCTGGTGAGAGACAAGCAGCTCAGAGTGCCACTACTAGTCCAGCCTCTGAGGCAAGGGTCAAAGAGACTAGTCAACCGAGTACAAACAAGGCAAGAGCAAGACCTAGGCGGCACTACTAGTCCAGCCACTGGGAAGAGGCCACAAAGCCAGCCAAGGTAATATACTGTATATAAAGGTCTGTACACAATAAAGGTCCTAGCAAATGAGAGGCTACAGGAACGAGACCTAGCTGTACACAGTGCCGCTGATGATCTTTAGGCGCAAGCGCCTTCGTAAAGATATCAGCTGTGTTGGCATCGGAGGCCAAGTGTACGACGCGGGCCTGGCGATGCTGCAGTAGCTCATACAGAAGGAAGTACCGCAGCTGAATGTGCTTCGCCCCGCCCTCAAGTCGAGGCTCCTGACACAGGAGGATCATGGCCCTGTTGTCAGCGCACAAAACCGAGGCAGAGCTAGGCCTCTCACCTAACTCAGTGAGCAAGAAGGTCAGCCAGCGGAGCTCTTGTGCCGCCATGGCACAGGCGTAGATCTCAGCCTCACAGCTAGACTGGGCAACGGACGAGGAGCGACTGGACCTCCACGACATGGCACCTGAACCAAGGCTAAAGCAGTAGCCCTGGGAGGACCTGAGAGTCTCGGTATCGTCTGCCCAAGAAGCGT